GAAATTGAAAACATGATAGAAAGACAGAAAATAACGTGGTGAAGATGCGGAGAAAAGAAGGGAACTCTTATACTGTTGGTGGGAATGTAAATTAGTACAACCTCTACAGAAAATATTCTGGAGATTTTTCAAAGAACTAAAGATAGAACTACCATTTGATCCAGCATTCCCACTACTGGGTATCTACATGAGGGGAAAAAAATCAATTTATCAAAAAGATGCCTGTATTTGTACGTTTATCACAGCATTATTCACAATAGCGAAGATACTGAAACAACCTAAGTGTTCATCAATGAATGAATGGATAAAGAGAATGTGGTATATATACACAATGGAATACTATTCAGCCATAAAAAATGAAATCATGGGAAAAAAATGAAATCATGTCTTTTGTAGCAACAGGAATGCAACTGGGAGGTCATTTATGTTAAGTGAAATAAGCAAAGCACAGAAAATCAAATATTGCATGTTCTCACTCATAAGTAAGTGCTAAAAAATGTACACATGGATGTAGAGAGTGGAATGATAGGCAACGGAGGCTTGGAAGGGTGAAGGGTTGGGACAAAGGTGGATGATGAGAAATTACTTAATGAATACAATGTATTAATATATTATTTGGGGCCGGGCATGGTGGCTCACACCTGTAATCCTAGCACTCTGGGAGGACGAGGCTGGCGGATCTTTTGAGCCCAGGGGTTCGAGACCAGCCTGAGCAAGAGTGAGACCCCTGTCTCTACTAAAAAAATAGAAAGAAATTAGCTGGACAACTAAAAATATATATATAAAAAATTAGCCAGGCATGGTGGCGCATGCCGGGAGTCCCAGCTACTCGAGAGACTGAGGCAGGAGGATTGCTTGAGCCCAGGAGTTTGAGGTTGCTGTAAGCTAGGCTGATGCCATGGTATTCTAGCCTGGGCAACAGAGTGAGACTCTGTCTCAAAAAAAAAAATGTTAAAAAATATATATATATGTATTATTTGGGCGATGGATAGCCTGAAGTCCTGACTTGAACACTACACAATCCATACATGTAACAAAATTGTACTTGTATCCATAAATTCATACAAATTAAAAACAAAGCATTTGAGTAAGTAGTTTAAAATTCAATCTCAAAAAATATTAAGCCCACAGAGATTTAGAGATGAGGTCTAATTATCCTTTAAGGAACATATGAGTCTTCTCCTATACAAACTAATCCATAGACTAGAAAGAGAGAGCCCCCAAATTAATTTTATGAGGCAAGAACAACCTTAATAGATTTGAAAAGGATTGGGTAAGAAGATAAAATTATAGGATCATTTTATTTACTTCCATTGATACAGATATGCTATTAATATGTAAAATATTAGCAAATTGAACCCAGTAAACTATAAAACATGATCAAGTACTATTCATCCCAGCAATTTAAGGATGGTTTAATACTAGAGTCTACTAATGTAATTTACCATATTAACAGATTAAAGATAAAAACTATATTACCAATTAGTCAAAATCTGATGTCCATTCATGACAAAACAGGTAGTAAACCGGAACTAGAAAGGAACTTCCTTAAACTGTTATTGGTTATCTTTCCATAACCTACTGCAAACATAGTATTTAATAGTGACAACTTAGAAGCATTCTTTTGAAGTCAGTAACTTACTATCAGTGTTTCTATTCAACACTGTACTAGAAATCCTAGTCAGCACACTAAGAAGAAAGTAAAAGAAATTAAAAATATGAGTATTTGAAAGGAATCATAGTTGTTCTTTGCAGGAAATATAATAATATACAGAGAAAATCCAAAAAATTACAAACCATTAGAACTAAAAAGAGGGTTCAGCAAGGTACCTTGATAAAGAGCACTATACAAAAATCATAATTTCTATACTCTAGCAACAATTGAAAAATACAAAAAGATACTATTTGAAATAGCAACTAAAATAACACAATAAATTAACAAAAGATTAAAACCTTTATGAAGAAAATTATAAATCTTTATTGAAAGATATGAAATAAATGGAGTGATACATGTGATTATGAAAGGGAAGACTAAATATTATAAATATTAGGAAAGACTACTTATTGCTCTTTCCTTCTTAGTAGAAGTAGCTCTATGATGTGGCATTTCTGGGCTCTCTGAATCCCTTCACTGCCTCCGTACCAGGGGAAGCAGAGTAATTTAACTAGTAAAGGAAGTAGTGATTTAACTCCCTTCTTGCAAAAGGAGTGTACTGGGAGAATGTGACCTGTTCTTCTAAGAGAAGCTCTCCTCCCATGTGGAAAGACCTCAGTCTAGTATTCCCTGTTTTGGGCAATCGTGATTGCCTATTTCTGGGATTCGTTAACATGCTCGTTTGGCTTTCTCACTAAGCTAAGCAGCTATTTTCACCTCTTCACTGTCATATTTCTCAATTTGCTTAGCTATTAGATGAACAAGGGTGCTACTTATTGGATTCCCTCAAAGACTCCAATAGGAACAGTGGCAAATCTCTCCCAAAATTAATTTATAAATTGAATGCAATTCCGATTAAAATTATCAATGAGATTCTCATGTAACTTGAGAAGTTGTTTCCTAAAATCCACAGGAAAGTGTAAAGGGCCAAGAATAGTGCCCAAGACAGTGAAGAAAGAAAGAAATAGAAAAAGAAGGAGGTGAAAGAGAAGAATTATAGCCACTTACTTTACGAGACATCAAAGCTTAATATAAAATATTAGTAATTAACACAATAAAAAATTAGTATAGGGATAGATAAAAATAGGCCAATGAACACAATGTAGAGACCTGAAAGAGACCTTATTATACTTAACAATGGAAGTTTGCACTATTACCAGTTGGAAGAAGACACAAGTCAATAAATTGTGCTGAGATAACTGGCTATGCTTACAGAAACAGATAAAATTAAATCCTTTTCTCATACCATATAAAAATAAATTATATACAACTATCAATAATTTAACTAATAAATTAGAACAGTAACATACTTACTGGATTGCCATAAACTGTAAGTTCCCTGAGAGAAGAGATAACATCAAGTTTTTCCAATTCTGTGATATCCTATTCAAAAGTTAATAAGTTATTATTTGGTTAGACCCAGCATCTTCAAATATAGACTAATTTGAACTAATTATATGTAAGTGTTGGATTGCAGCTATCTCATGACTAAATCCTCTAAAGTGAGCTTGAGTGACAGTATTCTGTTTTGTTCAATAAAGGCAGATATGTTTACTGTAGATTTCAAATACATGACTGGCAAACATGACAGTCTAACGTGGAAAATCGGCCATACAGCAGCACTTACAAGAAGAGACCAAATTTCTTCTCAGAAGAGTTTTGATTTATTCTAGGAATATTTGGTTAATTCTTCTAGAATATTGACTAAGAAATAAGGAAAAGGCAAACCCAGTCTAAACAATTTCAAAGGTGCATATTTAAACACAACTTTAACAGTAAAGGAATATGTGATATTGAGTAGCCTGCATCCTGCTATACTTAACTGGGAATATATATAACTGAAAAACTATTTCTCTAGTTAAATAATTCGCCTTCCCTACTGCATAAGATTATTTATTATTATCCATTTAACATTGGTGGAAGTTTGCAAGTATAGCTTTTTTTTTTTTTAATAATCTTGGGTTTCTTCAGCCTACCTTTTAGTTTTTGCAAAATTATTTCCAAAATGCTATTTCTGACAAAATTTACCAAACAAGCTCAGCCTCAGGTTGTTGCTAGTTCATAGTAATACAACAAAGTTATTGATATACTCATATTCCTGTTGGGAATTACAAGTGTACATACAACTTTAGACCTATTTTAGATCATTTGGAAGTGCAATTTGATTTTTAAAATGACTAATCTTTAAATATTTTGATTTTGGAAGTATCATAAAGGAGGGCTTTACAAAGCTCTAAAATCCTATTATCTATAGAGATATTGTGTATTTTTGCTCACAAGCAGTTTCTATCTGTGGAATCAAAGCCTGATTATAAGTCATGGACATATGAAAAGTTTTACATTATTTTCTCAAATTAAAAAGAATATAGCAGTGTTCACTAGTGAAATATTTCTAATCAAAATGTTCATTTCTCATAGAAAATATGAGAAATAGACTGTTAAATGTGAGGAGGATAATGCTGGTATAAAGTTTTAAAGAGACATCAAGCAAACTAGTATGCCCATAACTGGAGGGGAGAGGCTGATGGCTTCCCATTTTTAATACAGGATATTTTTTACAGTGGTGCATTGGAGTTACCTTATACTGGCTCACAAAAGTCAACTGGTGAATTTTGTGAGATGGTGTTTTAGCTTGAAATTGGCAATGGTAGAAGAAATTATACTATGGAAATTGGCAAATACTACTAATTAGGGTCCCTCAGGCCCCCAGAAAGCCAGTTGTTAAACATTAACCAGCACATTAGTAGTTGTTACCTTTTGAGTATATTGTTAGGATAAACACTTAAGGCAGTAATAGTAGAGGTCCATATTAGGACCTTCATTTAGGACAAGACACTTAGCAATAAACTATTTCCTGGGGTCATTTCCAGCTTCAGGTGATTATTCAGATGTTTAAAAGTAGACAGAGAAGCTGGATGTCATGTAGGAGAATCACTTAGATACAAGGATCAAATGAGACTGTAAAGCTGAGTTAAATAACTCATCTTTAAATTGTGTGTCTGTGATTCTTCCTGCAGAAGTAAGACAACAGGCAACAATTTTCCAAAGCTACATTATTGGACATGATGGCTAAGTCAAAATCTTCACACCAAAATCTGTCATCAAGGATATGCAGCTTCCAAAAGACGTTTAAGTGGGTCAATGAGGAACTGCATATGCCTTCATTTGAAATACTGCTGTTTTGCTAATTTTTCTAGGCACTTCTCCTTCTATCCCATCAATCTTTTTCAACCCAAAGGTCATAATCCAATTGTCCAGTTGTGGAAATTAATATTGGTATCAGCCTGCCCATGTTGGTATAAATCTAGGGACAAAATCTATTAAATAGATTTGAAACCAAGAGTTAAGAATTTTGAAGAACATATTGGTGTATTTTCAGTAGAATTCAGCAGAATTTCCAATATAACCTTCTGATTCCTCTGAGTTCATTTTCTCCCCAGCAAAATATATGGTCACATTAAGGTACTATAATATTAATGGTTAGAATAAATTTAATGGCAAAATGATCAATCTAAATTCAATGAAAAATGCCATTTTGTCTGGGCACAGTGGTACATGCCTGCAGTCCCAGCACTTTGGGAGGCTGAGGTAGAGAGATTGCTTGAGGCCAGGAGTTTGAGACCAGCATGGGCAACATAGCAAGACCCTGTCTCTATAAAAAATAAAAAAATTATCTGGACACGGTGACATGCACCTGCAATCCCAGCTACTCAGAATGCTGAGACAGGAGGATTGCTTGAGCCCAGGAGTTTGAGGCTGCAGTGAGCTATGATCATGCCACTGTACTCTATCCTGGGCAACAAAGTGAGACCCTGTCTCAGAAAATAAAAATACTATTTCAAGGATAAAAATAAACAATCTTAAATAATCAATAATTCTTATCTTTTCATTCAATGATATGTTTAATCTCCCATGATTTATGATATAGGTTGTCATTTAGCTATATTAGATTTTCATAATAAATAAGCTTGATTAAAAATTATTCTATTTAAGTACTGAGGAGGAAGTTGCTATACCAGCTGATCTTCTATCTATTCGTTCCCTTAAGAGGGACAGGGAGGTAGGAGGTAGGATAGGGACACTCCTGAGGAAAAGCAGGTTACCTGGTCTAATCTTGTAAGAATGCTGGTAACTGAATGTCCTGTCAAATAGAGCAATGACATTTGCTGAGAAGATGGTCCTTATTTATGGTATTCTCTTAGCAGATCTCCCTGGTTAAGGACTGCTTATAGCAAAAACAAAACAAAACACCCCTAGAATCTATAGAATTATAAGACATGGCTCCCTATAAAATGTCACATAAGCTCAAGTGTAATATGTAGATGTTTCATTAATGAAACACTCTCCTGCTGTATAAGATCACCCCACAAAATTTCACTTGAAAATTTTATCTTTTATGCTAAGCTAAAAGCTGTGTGTGAGATATGGGAAGGAAAGACCTGAGAAACCACTAAGAATGTCCTAGGTCCTGTGTATCCTTGACATTAGTAGAAAAGCTTGATACCAGGTAAGATCTCTAACAAGTATGTCTGATTCTACATCCTTTGTGTTAAATCCTTAGCTCAGTTGCTATCACTGGAAAGATTTCCCATAGAATCTAAATTTTCCTAATTTAGATCTCTTCTGGATAAAGCTTTGAAAGAATCATTGCCAGTTTGGCAGGCTTTTCTCAGATGAATGTTTGAATCTGAATAAATTAGTTGTATACTATTTTTTTCTGTATGTACATTCCCAAGTTGCTATATAGAAAGGGGTGCACTGCTCATGATTTCCTTCTAACCTTGTACAGGGCTTTTATATCATCCGAGAAAAGGCTTCCTGAAGTCTAGGCAATAAGCCACAAACAAATCTTTATTGAGTATCTACTATGTACCAGGCACTGTGCTATATACTGATACAAATGAGGACAAGATAGACTCGGTCCTTGCCCTTGGGGCACAGGGGCTTTGTTCCCAGTTCAGTCTGTCTCTGAGGCTGTCTTAGAGGTATAGGCGGGAGTAGTAAAGTGGGTAATAGGAGGGCTAACAGATAATTACTGAAATTCTGAGAGAAATGTGAGAGTTGTATAAGGTTATATCTTCAACTTTCTTAATGGTATAATATCTTAGGAGAGAGTCTGAGCAGGCTTAGTTGGGGCGGTGGCCTCAAAGTAACCGGTTGAATTCTGAGCAGGTAAAACTAAGGTAGGAGCCTAACTAAGGAAGCCTTGAGTGGGGACAGTTATAATATTAAAACCAACTTAAAGTCCATTAAAGGAAACCAATTAAAATGCCAGGTAGATCAAGTACATATGCCAAGTTTAAAGGGCCAGAGGATGTCTGGAATTGAGATACAGAAACAACTTGGACCAACAGCAGTCAAGGAACAAATGAGATCTCTCAGAGAGAACTGACGAGAAGAGCCTTAGAACATTTAGAGCTAAGCTTTATTAGTGGGTAGGGGCATGTGGATTTGTCCACTTCCTAAGTCTAGAAGCAAGGTGGACGTCTCTACATCAGAGAGTATTTGTATACCTTGAAATATGCATGGTATATAAATGGTAAATAGCATACTAGCAAAATTTTCATTACTGTGTTTGAAGCTTTATGTTCAAAGCTCAGAGGAATTAAGGTTTGCACATCTCATAACAAAAAACAAAATAATGTTACCTGGATTTTATTATATCCTAGGAAGAGTTTCTCTAGTTTTACCAAAGGTTGTAATTTGCTCAGCTCTCGTAGTCTGTTTTCCTCCAGGTGAAGTGCCAACAAAGAACTTGGTTTGGCAAAAGCACTGTCATTAAATGCTCTGATGCGGTTATGGTCCACTACCAATTCCTGAAGGACTACTAAGTTGTCAAGCCCTTCAATTTGACTGATTTCATTCCCTAAAAAAAGAGAAGTTATGATATATCAGGTGAGCCCAAACTCCCCAAATTAAAGGTTATCTACCTTCATTTAAATATTTTTATCGAACGATTTTTTTAAAAAAGGTACTGAAAAACTTATTTCCAAGGAGATATTGAATGTAATTTACAGGAAGGTAGCATCATCATCAATAATATTTGTTAAAGTTTCTCCTTCATGTTTAAAAGATCAGGAGGTGATGATGCACACAATGTACTGAATTGAACTAATCTGTTCAATAATTATGTGCCAAAATAGTTGGTTTTGACAAAAGTAGATATATAAAAGTGCTGCAAAAGAAGATTGCTTTCTGAGTATATCAGTTATTCTAATAGGTTTTCTAATAGTATAGCTAATTATTTCTTAAAATTGTGTTAAGTTGGAAGAATACACATTAATTATGCTATTCTTTGTCAGTATATTCTTGCACTGCAGCTATATTAAACAAATTAGAATTCATCTCATGCTTTAAAACTCTAGACTCTTCTTTATAACCTATGATTTCTCTCTACTGTAGCTATCAATAGCTTTATAAATATTAATAACATAAGAGAAGATGATGCTTCAATTTACAAAATGCTTTTATATGTACAGTATTTTCTATTAGAGTCTCAAAATGCAATAGGGGAAATATCTCTTTCTAATAATCAGAAAATTTAAGGTCAGATAAATTAAGTGACTCGCTCAAAGACATAAAAGTAGCAACATCAGGCCTAACTTAGACATTTTACACTTTAAGCTCAATGATCTTTCTAATATGTCATGCTATATTAAATTCAATATCCATCCTCCTTGTTTATTATGGGCTGAATTGTAATTCCCCTTTGATGTGCTTTAGATGTCTGGTGCCTCCAAATCTCATGTTGAAATTTGATCCCCAGTGTTGGAGGTGGGGCCTGTGGGAGGTGTTTGGGTCATGAAGGTGGATCCTTCATGAATGGCGTGGTGCCCTCCCTGCTATAATGAGTGAGTTCTCACTTTGTTAGTTCATGTGAGAGTTGGTTGTTTCAAGGAGCCTAGCAGCACTTCCTCCCCCTTTCTCCTTCTCTAGCCATGTGACATGCCTGCTCCCCTTTCCCTTCCACCTAGATTGAAAGCTCCCTGAAGCCCTCACCAGAAGCAGTTCTGTACAGTCTGCAGAACTGTAAGCCAAATAAACCTCTTTCTTTATAAATTATCCAGCTTCAGGTGTTTTCTTTATAGTAGTGAAAACTAACACACCCCTCAAATTTATATGTTAAAGTCCTAACCTTCAGTACCTCAGAATGTGACTGTATTTGGAGATAGGGTCTTTAAAGAGGTAATTAAGATTAAATGAGGTAATTGGGGTGAATCCTAATTCAATATGACTGGTGTCCTTATAAGAAGAGGAGCTTAGGGAAGATGGCAGACTAGAAGCAGTCCGCAAGCATGCCACTCTCAAGGAAAAGAGTAAATTGCAGACAGATATCTCTTCTCGGAAGGAACACTGTGAAACCCCAGAGAAGTGATGCAGGACGCTCACAGTGAAGGAGAAGGTAACAGGATGATTCATTTGACAAGACTGAAGGGATCTGTGGGGAGGCATTTACATTTGAGAAAGATTAGAAGGACAGAATGCTGGGGTGCCATGCTCGCCTCGACTGACTGGGAGCTGCCTAGAGTCTGTGCAGAGTCATTGCACAGGAGAACAGGTGCAGTAAGGATCTGGTAGTTGCCAATCCTGGGTTTCTGCAGCTGACACCATCCTGAGCTCTCAGGTGTACGGTGCCAGGTCTGCACAGGACTCAGGTTTGCAGCAGTAGCCTTCACATCACCTCCAACAGGCTGAGGAGGGAGCAGACTGAGCAGATGCTCCCCTGAGTTGTACCCTGTGACTGGAGCCAAGTGCCCCTCCCCTCCAGCATGGAAGGATCTGAGCAGAGGCGTTGCCTTGTTGCCTCAGGTGCTACGGACTTGATCTGGGAAGCTCTGATTGACTGCCTCAATAGGACCTGGGGGTGGGGTGGGAAGAATTCCATGGTCCCCGGGCCACTGGAACTAAGCCCCGCCCATGCAACTTGGCATCCACAGTCCCCAACCTGGCGCAACAGTCTGATGCCTGTGCAGCCCTGCCTTCGTGCCCAAGTTTGGAATAGCCTGTATGGCCCCGATTTCATAGACCCTGGTTCTGGCTCTGAGGCTTTCATGCTGAAGCCCGAAGCCCTGCCCCTGTGGCTCCAGAGCCGCCAGGAGGTCCGAAACAACTCCCCTGAGATTACAGAGTTGCACCTGGACCTCAAGACTCCAACCCTAAGTCTCCACCACTGCTGTTGGGCTAATGGAACTGCCCTGAGGTCCAATGCCCTGCCAGGGAACCCCAGGCTCAAGCCACCATTACACTAGGACCTGGTTTGAGCAAATGCCCACAGCCTGTGCACCCATAACCACTGCCTAGATAGTGTCACTCAGCTGTCACTGTCACCTCTGCGGGGAGAGCCCAGGCAGAGCAATCCTCACAACACAAGCCTTCGTGGAGACAGTCTGCCCCAGCCCCCAATTCGAACTTCCTACAACAACCTGGGGGAACAACCCACCACCCTGCACAAAGATCATTCAGTGCTGGCTTGAACTGTGGCAATCTCAGGTGAATAGGACGAAACAGAACAGCTGCACTATAGGCTTTTAGTGCATACACTCGTCTCCTGCTGAATCAATACTTCGGAGTAGGAAAAAAGCGCCTCTAGGGACATCCTATTCTTCTAATTAAACAAGAGAGGTCTCAGCAAAGGAGATCAGGTACCCTGCATGCCTATTAGCCCTGAGTAGAGAAAAGAGGATTCAGATAAGAAGAAACCAGCAAAAGAACCCTGGCAACATGAAAAAGCAAAATAGTTTGACACCTCCAAGGGATCACAATGCAGCTACAGTAGTGGGCTCCAACCACAAGGAAATTGCCAAAATGACAAAAATGAAATTCAGAATATGGATGGCAAATAAAATGAATGGAATTGAAAGAAAGTTGAAAACCAACAAAAAGTAAAAAAAAAGAAAAAAAAAAAACCTTAGGAAATCAATGAAAAAGTCACTAAAGAACTAGACAACATAAGAAAGGATAAAATAGAACTTAAGGAAAAGAAAGAGTCATTTAGGGAATTTCCAAACATGCAGATAGCTTCAACAACAGACTAAACCAAGGAGAAGAAAGAATCTCAGAGCTTGAAGCAAGGCTTTGAGCTAACCTCAAAGAGGCAGAAAATAAAATTAAAAAAAAAAATGAGTAATCACTTAGAGAAATATGGGATCATGCGAAGCGAACTAACATACTAACAATCTGCCCCCAATGCATGTAGCCCCTTATTAGTTACACCACAATCTGCCCCAAGCCACGTGGCCCCTCCTTTGAAGGCCAAGATCTCCATTAGTTGGAGAGATGGATTTGAGGCAGCTTCTCCAGTTCTCCTGACAAGACGTCCTTCATATTAAAAAATTCCTTTCTTCCTTGGCAATCCTCATTGTCTCAATAATTGGATCTTTGTGCGATGAGTAACTGGATCTAGACTGAAACCCTCTTGTGGTTTCAACAACAAAATTATTCAACCTCACTAAACCTGTTTCTTTTTTTGTAAAATACATATGATAATACTTACCATGTAGGGTTGCTGTGAAGATTAGATAATCTATATAGATAAACAGCTTGCCCAATGACTCCATAAATGTCAGCCATTATTGGCAGAGTAAACTGCCTCACTTCCTGCATAAGGCTTCCCTTTTCTGATTTGCCATGCTAGCCACAGCAACAGAACAAACTCTTTCTTTTCATTATTAGATTAAAATAGACTTTCCAGGGATAGGTTTTCAGCTTTTTTTTATGTCAACTTATCTTTTAAAAGATCTGTCATTGTATTCAATTTCTTGTTTTTTTAAGGCTGAGTCTACATGTTCTTGATCCAAATCACAAGTACCTTTGATAAGCAAAAAGATGCATTAAGTGTTTTAAAAATATGGTCTAGAAAAGCCTGTCTTTCAGAAAAATGTTACTACCAACTATCCAGATATCTACCCATATATCTCACTGATGGATCTCCCAGCCTTTCTCCTATGTCACTGAATAATTATTGTTAGGCTTATGTTCTAAACCCTGTGTTTTCTCATGCTACTTTTCTAAAAATTTATAGTTCCTATCTATCATTGACTACATACTGTCCAAATTTCTCTTCCTGGCTTTCCATAATTTGGTTCTTCTCTATATTTTCAACTTCAAGTCTTCAATATTCCACAAAATAAAAAATATTACTATAAAGTAATGAGACTTACTTAAAATTAAACTAAATAAAATAATATCAAAATAGTATTATCTACCAAGTTGATCACATTTAGAAGCTTAATAATTCTCTCAGAGAACTGCATACTCTTCTTTCTCACCAGGTTAGTCCCTTTCCAAGAACTGGCCACAGACACTGTAATCATGCCGTGTGACTCTTTTCCTCCTCCCTCTGCTGGCAAAGCTCTCAGTAGTGCTCACCTTCAATCCAAATTCTATCAATCCTTCAAAGACTCCTAGATATGTAGAGGAGTTAATTGTTCAATTTCTCTTTTCTCTGAACTTCCATTGCACTTAATTTAGTAACACATTAAGTAGAATTTAATTCATCTTTGGGTCAGTACTTTTCCACAGGCAGATCTTAAAAAACTACTTTAGATCAAGGATCTCAATTATATATAATTACAGTAATATAGTACTTCCATATTTTTCATAGTACTTAGCATAATAATGTATTTAATAAATACTTTGAATTACTGGTTGCTTTTCATTATTTTTTAAGTTGAATATGATATAAAAGTAAATTACAATATAATACTGTATATACCCCAGAATATTGCATTTTTCTTTAAAAATAGTTCTTAAAAATATATAAATAACCCAAGAAAAACCCATTTGTGATTATTATAATATTTTTGCCAATAAATCTGTTTGAGTAAACATTGATGCTTATATTTGCTTATCAAAACATGAGGATAATGTCACTTTTAAACACAGTCTAAGTAATAAAGACTTAGACATTAACAGTGCTTCTACTCACCCTGTAGAAAGAGGAATTTTAAATTTGTCAGCCTGTTAAGTTGTAGCTGGATTAAATTACAAATTCCATTGTAGCCCAAATGAAGAACTTCTAAACTGTGCATTATTGGAGGCAAATTTTCACTGCACATTGTATCTCTGAAACACATAGGTACATCTGAGGCCATAAACTTAATTTCAAACCAGCTATGTCATAAAAAGACAATATGGTATGTTTTTACTACAAATTGAAGTTAATAAAACAATGAATTTATTAATATATCAAAATTAAGCTATAATATGTAGTCTCTTTATGTTTTATATAATACTTTTAATTTTTTAAAATATTTTTATATGGTAAAGAATAAAAAAGCACATAAAATGTTATAATGAAAAGCAATAGCTAATGCAATCAGACAAGAAAAAGAAAAAAGAAAGGCATCCAAATTAGAGAGGAATAAGTAAAACTGTCTTTATTCCTTTATTCTCAGATGACATGATCCTGTATTTAAAAAATCCTAAGGGATCCACCAAAAAACTAACTTCACTAATAAATGAGTTCAGCAACATCATAGGATAAAAGATTAATATGTAAAAATTAATTGAATTTCTACATATCAGCAATAAATAATCTGAAAATGAAATTAAGAAAACAATTCTGTTCACAATAGTATAAAAAGGAATAAAATGCTTAAGAATAAGTTTACCAAAAGAATTGCCAAATATATATATAGAGAAATCTACAAAACATTGCTGAGAGAAATTAAGGAATATCTAAATAAAGTGACAAATAGTCCATTTTAATGGACTAGAACATTTGCTATTACTAAGATGGCAATTCTCCCAAATTAATCAATAGCTTTCATACAATCTCTACCAAAGCCCAGGAAGCTCCCCCAACCCATGACCAGCTTTTCCTAAAATTTATAAGGAAATGCAAAGGACCCAGAATATCCAAAACAATCTTGAAAAAGAACAAAGTTGGAGGGCTTAAAGCACTGATTTCAAAATTTTTTACAAAACTATAGTAATCAAACCAGTCTGGTACTGGCAAAAGGACAGACATCTAGATCAATGGAATAGAATTGAGTCCAGAAATAAATCTTTACATTTATGGTCAATTGATTTTCAGCAAAGGTACCAACGCAATTAAGTAGGGGAAAGGATAGTGTTTTAAACAAATGGTGCTGACAGTTGAATATCCACATGCAAAAAGATGGATTTAGACCTTACCACCTTACTTCACAGTATATATAAACATTAACTCAAAAGGGATCATAGGACTAGATGAAATAGTAAAAACAAAACTTTTTAAAGAAAACATGAGAAAATCTTTGTGACCTTAGGTTAGGCAAGGAATTGTTAGATACAACACTGAAATCACTATAAGAGAAAAAATTGATAAATTTGATTTTATCAAAAGTTAAATTTCTTCAAAGACACCATTTAAGAAAGTAAAAAGACATGGCACAGATTGAGAGAATATTTGTAAATTATTTATTTGATAAAGGGTTTATATCCAGTATATTTAAATAACTCAATAATAAAAAGCCAAGGAACTTAATTAAAAAATAAGCAAAAGATTTGAATAGATATTTCATGAAAGAAGATGTATGAATGCCTAATAAGCATATGAAAGCCATTCAACATTATTATTAAGGAAATGCAAATATTCAAACCATAATCAGACACCACTTCAAATCTACTAGAAGGGCTATAATTAAAAAAAAATAGGCAATGACAAGCATTGGCAAAGATGTGGAGAAATCAGAAACCTCAAATACTGCTAGTGGTAATAAAAAATGGTACAACCACTTTGGAAAACAGTTTATTAATTTCGTAAATAAACATTAAATTACCATATGACCCAGAAATTCCACTCATAGGTATATAACCAAGGCAAACATAATGAAAATTTGAGTGCACACAAATATTAATACTTGTACACAAATGTTTATAGCAGCCATTATTCATACGAGCTAAAAGGAAGAAACAATCCAATGGATTAGTGAATGGGTAAATATGATGTGGCATATCCATATAATGAAATATCCATATATTCAGCAATAAAAAGGAATGAACTACTAATACATGTCACAATGTCAATGAACCTCAAAAACACTATGTTAAGAAGCCAGATGGAAAAGACTATCTACTATATGGTTCCATTTTTATGAAATATCTAGAAAACACAACCCCATAGAAAGCAAATTAGAAGTGGTTTGGGGCTAGAGGTGGGAAAGGGAATCGACTGCAAATGGACATGAAGGATCTTTCTGGTGTGATGGTAATGTTCTAAAATTGTATTGCAGTAATGATTGCACAACTCTATAAATTTAGTAAAAGTCATTGAATTATAACCTAAAATGAATGAACAAGGTATGTAAATAACACTTCAATAAAGCTGTTAGAAAAGCCAAATATGAATAGGCTCCAAAAAAGGATGTGTATAAATGAAGTGTTCATAGTAACTTTAGTCATAATGGCCTCAAACTGGGAACAACCCAAATGTCCATCAGTGATAAATGGATAAACCACTTGTCATATACTCCATATAATGCAATACTACTCAGCAATAAAATGAAATGAATTACTGACACTTGCAAAAACATGGATGAATCTCAAAAGCATTATGCTAAGTGACAGAAGCTGGACACAAAAGACTACTTACTATATAATTTCAATCATATGAAATTCTAGTAAAACTTATAGTGATAGCAGATCAGTGGTTCTTTCCAGGGGGAAGGAGCTGGGGGAAGGGGATTGCAAAAAGATATGAGGGAACTTTTTGGGATAGAAGTAGTTTGTATTTTGATTGTAGTAGTGGTTATATGACTGAATACATTTGCCAAAATTCATTAAACTATACCCATATATTGGTAAATTCTATTATATGTAAATCATACTTTAATAAAGCTGATAAAAACCACAAGGAATGGTCTTCATTGGGAAAACTGAGATGAAAGTATTATGACTTGGAGATAGATAGATAGATAGATAGATGGACGCTCTATGAAAAATGTATAGGAAGATGGGAGATACGTCCTTGTCTTTTTCATGAAGTATCTTTTTCACCAGTGCTGGGGCATTAAGTGACCAGATAAATAATTTAGAAATAAAAAAAAAAAAAAACAAACGCTAGAAACCCAAGTCCATGCAACTGAATACAGGGTTCCTTTGTGGGGTGATGAAAATGTTCTGGAATTAGATAGTGGTAATGGTTGCACAATTTGTAAATATACTAAAAATTACTGAATTGTACACAAAGGGTGAGTTTTGTGGTATGTGAATTGTATCTCAATTTTTAAAAAGAAACTCAAGGTTATTAAACATACAGTACAAGCCTTTATATTCTTTTGTTTTTTGATTTTTTTCTTTATTTACAATATAGGCATGAAATGGAGGAAGCAGGAGATAAGCAATGACAAACGAATATTTTGAGTATATTTTTATTTGTGAAGTTTATTTTTGGCATGTAGCTGTTAAATAAAGTTTGTACCTCCATAATACTCTGAAATAAAAAAAGTAATAGAAAAATCCTAGAAAAACTAAATTAAATCCATCCTTACATTAAAAAAATAAGCTAAAAGGATGCACTGGAATGTGTTACTGCTATCATTAATGTGATTAACTGCTTTTTATTTATTATTATTATTTTTTTCAACATAAGGTATTTAATATAGAGAAATGCTTACAAGGTTAGATTGCTGAAAGAGCAAGAAGGGAATACTGAGGTATCACAGAGACAGTAACTTGGGGAAGCAGCTACCACATCTAGGAATGAGAAACAAAGGATGTGGCTGAGGGGTTATCAGCGCCTCAGAGGTGGGGTTGGCCCTCTCAGGAGGGAGTACTATCTAGCTCTTACTGGTTCCTATCAAAGGAGCACCACAGGAATGGTTCTGGGAGTGCTGAAAGGACTTGGAGGCTGGAAGTGGAACCAACTGCACTCCCCAGGCCCAGTGTTACTGAGGCTGAGGTGATACTGACAGGAACAGCAAGCAAATAGGAAGTGGAACTTTCCTCTCCTTCCTGCCTTGCAATCTCCCTTTAGTAAGAAATGAGTATAAAGTCCCAGCTGAAGCATCACAAAGCAGAATATGGAAGTATAGGTTTGGAGTCGGGAGAAAATGGCTTAATAACAGTCATATCTAGGAAAGGACATACAGATACTTACTCTCACCTTTATGTACATTGGTTGAACTGGGTCTATGGTGACCAAGCCTTATTTACATTTTCTTGAGATATGATTCAAATACCCTTTTAAAGCATACAGTTCAGAGTTTTTTAGTGTATTCACAAAGTTGTACACTTAACACTGCTAATTCCAGAATATTTTCATCAGCCCAAAGGGAAATCTCCTATCCTTTAGCTATCACCTCCCATCCCTTACACCCTCTCCCCACCCAGCTCTAGGCAAACATTAACCTACTATCTGTGGATTTGTCTATTTTGGATATTTTATACAAATGGAGTCGTATAATATGTGGTCTTCTTTGTTTGCCTTCTTTCACCTAGCAAAATGGTTTTTAAAATTTTTTATTTTTATTTTAATAGATTTAGGGGTTCCAAGTCAAGTTCTGTTATATGTACATATTGTATAGTATACTGCAGGGTGGTGGAGTATGGCCTTTAGGTATACTCATCACCCAAGCATTGTACCTTGTATCCCATAGATAATTTTTCATCCTGCAGCCCCTCCCACAGTCCCTCTTTTTGAGTCTCCAATATCCATTATACCACTCTTGGGTGCTCTTGTATAGCCATAGTTTAGCTCCCGCTTATAGGTGAGAACATGTGGCATTTATTTTTCGGTTCCTGAGTTACTTCACGTAGGATGATGGCCTCCAGTTCCATCCAAGTTGCTGCAAAAGACATTCTTTCATTCTTTTTTATTGCTGAGTAGTACTCCATGATACATACATACACACACATGTGCACACACACCGACATTTTCTTTATCCATTCATCAGTTGATGGGTATTTAGGTTGATTCCATATTTTGCCATTGTGAATTGTGCTGTAATAAACATACAAGTACAGGTATCTTTTTGATATACTGATTTCTTTTCCTCTGCGTAGATACGCAGTAGTGGGAATACATAATTGAATGGTAGGTCTACTTTTAGTCTTTGAGAAATCTCCATACTGATCTCCAT